AAATAATAATTTATAAATTATCAAGGGTTCATGAGGGAGAGGGGAGCTGGGAGAGAGGGGGGGAAATGAGGAGCTGATGCCAGGGGCTTACGTGGAGAGCAAATGTTTTGAGAATGATGAGGGTAACGAATGTACAAATGTGCTTTGTACAATTGATGCATGTATGGATTGTAATAAGAGTTGTATGAGCCCCCAGTAAAATGATTTAAAAAAAAGAAAATACCATGGCTTGAGTCAGGTGTACCTCAAAGTAACATCCTTGCTTTTCAACACTCTAAAGAGGTCTTGTGTAGAAGATTTACCCAATGAAATTCATCCTTTGATCTGGTCACTGCTGGTACCATGTGAACACTGATTGTGGATCCAAGGAAGACAAAAACCCTTGACGACTTCAGTCTTTTCTCAGTAGATCAGGTTACCTACTGGTCCAGTTGTGAGGATTTGGGTTTTCTTTACACAGAGTTGTAATTCACACTGAAGGCTCAATCCTTGAGCTTCATTAACAAGTGCTTTAAGCCTTTCTGACTTTCAGCAAGTAGAGTTGTGTCATCTGCATAGCGCAGGTTATTATTAAGCCTTCCTCCAATCCTGATGCCGATTCTTCTTCATGCAAGCCAGCTTCTCTGTAGATTTGCTCAGCAGATTGAACAAGTACGGTGAGAAGCTAGAACTCTGGCGCACACCTTTCCCGATTTTAATTCACTCAGAATACTCTTACTCAGTTTGCACACAATAATCACAGATAGATAGAAATCTACCCCAAGGAACTAATTTTAATATTTTCAAATAAGGATCAAAATCTATAGATACTAAAGAAATTATCATTTAGATGTTTAAAAGAGAATAAAATCTCAACAACAGCTTAATAGCTAGGTGGTAATTATAACAGCACTGAAAAACCATAGCCCCTGCCATCGTGTCCAATTCCAACTCCTAGTGAATCTTAGAAGTAGTTGCTGATAGGGTTAGGAAAGCAGACTACATCGTCCACTCCTGGGGCAGCTGGTGGGTTCAAGTGCTTCACCTCTGTGCCACCAGGGCTCATATCACAGTACTCGCTGCCATTTACTGAGTACTCAGTGTTGCCGCCAAGTTGATTCCGACTTACCGTGCCCTCCTACGCCGACTAGAACTGCTCGTTACGGTTTCAAGGCTGTGATTTTCAAAGCAGAGCTCCACACGCCCCTCCAGAGTGCCTCTCGATAGGTCTGAAGTGCCAGCCTTCCAGTTGCTCCTCAGGATCACGGCCTTGGAAACCCAGGGGCAGTTCTACTCGGTCCAGCAGGGTGGCGATGAGGTAGGGATTCCCGTGTGTTTTCTTTCCCTTGATGAGGCTGAGTATTTATATGACAAACTCTGCACTTGAATCCAGTCTCTCTGACCACAAAACATCTGCCCTTAACCAGTAGTTACTAGTAAGTAGCTCGACATTCATTGGGCCTTTATTGCATGTCAGGCCCTGGGCTTAGTTTTACATGCATCACTTCACCATAACAATCTTATGAGGTAGATGCTTATTATCTGTATTTTATAAATGGGAAAACTCAGGCTCAGAGGACTTGAGTAATTGGCCTCAGTTTCCACAGTCGGGAGGTGGCAGAGCTGAGACAGGAACCGAGGCTGCTTGATCTACAGCCTATTTTCTTACAACCCACGCTCTACTACCTTCAAGAGAAGGTGACATTCACACACGGAAGTGTGTACCATGGGTGAGGGCTCAATATACTAAGCAGGATAACCAGAAAAGGATGCTCTCAAAGTAACCTTTGAGCAAAGACCCGCAGATTGAATGTGGTAGATGAGGGAAGAAAGGAGTAATGGATTATTCCTAGGATTTCCACTTGGCAACTTATTGAAAAGAAATGGTTTTAGGAAAGACAACCGTGTGTGTGTGTGTG